TAGCTGTATGGCCTTGGCCAAATTGCTTAGTCTATTTGAGCCTCTACTTCCTCATCTATAAAATGGGAGTAATAGTACTTATAAAGGTTAAATATATCACTACACATTAAGTGCTTAGACTGTGCCTAACACTAAGTGTCCTATAAATGTTAACTGTATTAATAATTATGAGACTTTTGCAAATCACCATAAAAAGTAATCCTGTAAGATGTTATTATGAAATTTACAAATAAACCCCTATAGGGCTAACTATGTTTCTGAACCAAATGAGATAAAAATGAAGAAGACTTACTCTGAAAAACTGTTAGATGATACAAAAAGTGAATCTAATGACAGTTGAAGTATTTCAGAAAGTGACAAAAGCAGTATTTCTAAAATAATATATTCCAATATACTACTTAAATATGCATGTGTGGACTTCTAGGTCTAGCCTGATCCAATTTTCCCACCCACTTTTCTACAAACCTATAAAACCAACAAAGAGCACATATAAATCAAACACTACCTGTGCCTTCAGTGTTATTAAGAAACAGTTTAACACAACCTTCAGATTACCTATAAGTAGAGAAATAAATCAGATTCTAAGAGCTCCTTCTGCTCTTTACTGTGGATGTGAAGAGTGGGTGAGGTTCACTGAAAAAGTTTAGGGGCATGGAAGATTTAGATGAAGCACAAAATATCACTTCCAAGAGAAAAATTCCAACACTAAGTTCCAAAATACTGAATACAGGTTTGAAATTTGATAGTTTTTAGCTCTAACCACAGAGAAGAACTTGAAAATAATCTACCGAAATGGATAGCCTTAAATTATAAGCATTGCTTCATAGGGAAGGGGTGAAGATATGGAGACTTAGAGAAATGGTAGTGAAGAGAAAGAAAAGAGGAAAAAAATTAATGATGCTTCAGGAAAAGAAAGAGAAAGTAAACTTAAGATGTATTCATGGACTAGGAACTCTGACCATGAAATGAATCGAAAGAGAAAAGAGTGGAACATCTCCATACAGAACTGCTCTAAGAAAGAAACAGTGTGAATCAAAGCATTTCAATTGATGGGGGAGGTGGGAAGGGGAAATATAAAAGTATAAAGAAAGGAACGAACAAGAGAAAGAAATCAAGTTAAAGTAGATCAAACTCAGAAAAGTGAAGGAAAAAAGATGAAAAAAGTCAGAAATGAAGACTTCAGTTATAATAAAGTTCCCACTGAACAATAGATTCCAATGTGAATATAATAAAATACATTGAAGAAAAGCAGGAAAACAATCCAGAAAATGAGATTCATTTTTTTGTTATTTGACAGTTTAAATGGAAGATGGGTCTAAAAAAACCTAATGTGGCCTGGCCAGTGTGATTTGGTAGTTGGGCGTCAACTTATAAATTAGGAGGTCACAGTTCAATTCCCAGTCAGGGCGCATGTCTAGTTGTGGGCTCGATCCCCAGTGTAGGGCATGCAGGAGGCAACCGATCAATGATTCACCCTCATCATTGATGTTTCTATCTCTCTCTCCCTCTCCCTTCCTCTCTGAAATCAATAAAAATATTTTAAATCTAATGTGTGTAATTATTGTCCCTAATAAGGAAAAAAAGTATAATATTTAAAACTATCATCGAAGAAAACTCTGGAAATAAAAGATCTGAATCTGAACATCGAAAGTTCATATCAGAAGATAAACTCAACAGTAGAGCAACATGAGGAAAGAAAATGCTAACCAATGATTCAGTCAAATGTCCTTCAAATGTCAAGACTGTAGAAAAACAATTTTGACTATGCCAAGAACTCGGGGAATACTGTACTCACTAGCCCTTCCTGAAGAAATTTAAGGGCTCAATTTCATTAGGAAGAGGTGTTTGGGCAATTTTCTGCAAAAAGATTGACAGTGAATACTTCATGTATTTTGTTTTGTTTTTTAGCCCAAGAAATTTTGGGTTTCAACAAAGAACCATTCGCCTGAATATTTACATTGATGAGGAAGTGAGCGTACACAGACCTCATCTTGTAACACCAATGTAACATCCTTGATCATCACATTCTGTACATGACTACAGATAGTGTGAACAGGAGCCAGTTCATTTCTAGTTCCCCACTACTGGTCAACCCTCTTTTTTCTTCCAAGGAGACCGAGTTCTAGATTGACCTTCACAATAACTGCATCCCTGAATTCAGAGTGAGGTCAACATTTTCTGGAATGTTGACAGTCTGATTGCTGAGAATGGTCTTATCCTCACCATAGATGCAGCAAAAAAGGAGTTTTGTTTATCTTTTTGAACTAAGATTAAAATCAAGAGTAGGGACATAACTAGAAGAATAGTACCTAAATGTTACTGCATTTTGAGTGTTTGGGGCAACCCTACACTGAGCAAGCTTATTAGAACCATTTTTCCAATAGAATTTGATCATTTTGTGTCTCTGTCACATTTTGGTAATTCTTGTAACATTTCAAACTTTTTCATTATTTTTTAAATACATATTTTTATTGAATTCAAAGAGGAAGAGAGAGGGAGAAACATCAATGATGAGAGATAATCATTGATTGGCTGCCACCTGCATGCCCCCTACTGGGGATCGAGCCCACAACCCGGGCATGTGCCTCAACTGGAATGAAACCTGGGACCCTTCAGTCTGCAGGCCGACGCTCTATCCACTAAGCCAAACCAGCTAGGGCAAACTTTTTCATTATTTATTGTGATCTGTGATCAGTGATCTTTGACATTACTATTGTAATTGCTTTAGGGAGCCAGCAACCACACCTATGCCAGACAGCAAACTTAATTGATAAATATTGTGTAAGTTCTGATGGGTCATTCCCCATCTTCCTGCCCTGGGCCTCCTTAGTCTGAGACAACAATATTGAAATGAGGCCAATTAATAACCCTAAAATGGCCTCTAAGTATTCAAGTGAAAGGAAGAGTTGCACACCTCTCACTCAAAATCTAGAAATGATTAAGCTTACTGAGAAGGGCATGTCAAAAGCTAGGCCTCTTGCCCAGCTGGCATGGCTCAGTGGCTGAACATCGACCTATGAACCAGGAGGTTAAGGTTTGATTCCCCATCAGGGCACATGCCTGAATTGTGGGATCGATCCCCAGTGTGGAGCATGCTGGAGCCAGCTGACCAATGATTCTCATCATTGACGTTTCTATCTCTCTATCCCTCTCCCTTTCTGAAATCAATAAAAATATATTTTTGTAAAAAGCTAGGCCTCTTGTGCCATAGAGCCAAGTTGTGAATGCAAAGGAAAAAGTCTTGAAATTTGAAAGTGCTATTCCAGTGAACATACAAATGTTATGAAAGTGAAACAGCCTTGTATTGGAGCAAATTTTAGTGGTCTGGATAGAAGATCAAACCAAGTACAACATTCCTTTAAGCCAAAACCTAATCTAAAGCAAGACCCTAACTCTTGCAGTGTAGGAAGGCTGAGAGTGATGGGGACACTGCAGAAGTTAGAAGCTAGCAAATGCTGGTTCATAAGGTTTAAGGAAAGAAGCCATCTCCATAACAGAAGCGCAAGATGAAACAGCAAAGTGCTGATGTGAAAGCTGCAACAAGCTGTGCAGAAGACCTAGCTGCGACAATGAAGATGGCTACACTACACAACAGATTTTCAGTGGAAACAGCCTTATATTGGAAGGAGATGCCATTTAGGACTTCCATAGCGAGAGAAAAGTCACTGCCTAGCTTCGAAGGCAGGCTGACTCTCTTGTTAAGGTCTAATTCAGATGGTGAGAATTGAAGCCAGTGCTCACTTACCATTCTGAAAATCCTAGGGCCCTTAAGAATTATGTGAAACCTATTCTGACTATAAGTGGAACAACAAAGCCTGGATGGCTGCGCATCTATTTACAACATGGTTTACTGAGTCTTTTAAACCTGTTGAGACCTGCTCAGGAAAAAAATAGTAATTACCTACCCTTTTTGCTCCAAAGTGACATTTTATGTATTAATTTGAGAGAGAGAAATATCAATTTGTTGTTCTTATTTATGCATTCATTGGTTGTTTCTTGTATGTTCCCTGACTGGGGATTGAACCCACAACCTTGGCATATTGAGATGACGCTCTAACCAACTCTGCTACCCAGGCAGAGCTCCAAAGTGGCTTTTAAAAGAATCAGGTGCCTATACTTCTATATAAGAATTTCTGGTGCCAAGAATTAACCAATCAGATGCAACCTTATTATGTAATGTTACCAATAAGATGCTACTCTATTATATCACATATATACTTATGGTTCAAGACACACTGGGCAATTATTGTTGTGTTGGCTGTTGTCATTTTTTAATTTGACAGCCTGAGGAAAAAGAGGTCAATGACTAAATAGTTAGATATTGCATGTTTTAAAAATTCTTGCAGCACACTGGTTGAAATTGCTTATCTAGACCAGTGGTCAGCAAACTGCGGCTTGCGAGCCACATGCTGCTCTTTGGCCCCTTGAGTGTGGCTCTTCCTAAGCCTTAGGAGTACCCTAATTAAGTTAATAACAATGCACCTACCTATATAGTTTAAGTTTAAAAAATTTGGCTCTCGAAAGAAATTTCAGTCGTTGTCCTGTTGATATTTGGCTCTGTTGACTAATGAGTTTGCCGACCACTGGTCTAGACGTTGGCAGTTTTAGAGATGAAATGCAAATTAAGAAATCATCTGTTGTGTGTATTTTAGCACAAATTTTTTTAAATCAACTGATGTAATCTCTTTTATAGAGAAGTGACACACCCAGTTTATGGCAAAACTTGAATTACAGGATGAGCTTCTGATTCAGTCCGTGTTCTTACCATCATTATTGTTATTCTTGTTAGCTAACATTGTAGCTAATAAATTCGTGTCTCAGATAAGTGGAGGACTCCATTTTGACACAAACGTTTAGCTTTTCATTATAAAATAAAATTACCATTTCTCAGGGCTAGGTTTTCATTTTTCAAATTCCATTTGCCAAATTTTGAACTAAGGTCTTTTAGGGGGTGTATATAAGTGCTGTGTCATGTATTACTAATTTCTTGTACTTTTAAGATTGAACATTATTCACAATCCCAAAGGAAAAGAAGAGACTCATTCGGGATGTTTGACGGTTATGATAGCTGCAGTGAGGACACAAGTAGCAGCTCCAGCTCTGAGGAGAGTGAAGAGGAAGTTGCTCCTTTACCTTCTAATCTCCCAATTATCAAAAACAATGGACAAGTCTACACGTACCCAGATGGCAAATCTGGCATGGGTGAGTATGAATGCCTCAGCCTTGACCTGCTATACAACTTTATGTTTTAAGGTTATGTTTTGATTCCATAGCTTCTGTCATTTCCCTCCCTTAGAATTTTTAAAGGGCAGTTTGAAGAAACTTATAGTTCTAGAGTAGATCATTGGGTTTGTGCTTGATCTCTTTATTTTGTCTACCAACCACCTTCCGGTGGAAAGCAAGTAAAACAAAATGAAAAGAGAAAGCTGTTGACAAACTTAATGTGGACTTAAATTTTAAGATTAGATAATGAAATCTTATGTGATTGAAAGTTTGTAAGATAATACTTAAAGATTTGAAAGAGACTTTTCCTCTATGACAATTTCTTGTAAGTTTTCTGTTTTAATACTTCCAGTGATTGGGTATCTAGTGAATATTCTTTATATTAAACCGAAAGTATCTATGCTCTAACTTCTATCTTTTGGTCTTAATGTTGCTTTTTATTTTTTTTATATTTTTCTTATTGATTTCAGAGAGGGGGAGAGAGAGAGAGAGAGAGAGAGAGAATCATTGATCCTGCACACCCCCTACTGGGGATCAAGCCCAGAACCCAGGCATATGCCCTGATAAGAATCGATCTGTGACCTCCTAGTTTATGGGTCGACACTCAACCACTGAGCAACACCAGCCAGGCTTAATGTTGCTTTTTAAAGGTACACAGATAATTCTAATTTTTGTACGGTGACATAGTTCTAGCATGTCTCGGGTACACTAAATAACCCTAGTTGCCCTAGCCATTTCTCATAGTAGCACAGGGATTTAATTCTTCAGTGTCCTGCTTACTTGTTTCTGGGGATACTTTAGATTATACAGTAATAGGGTAACAATTTGTCCAAGACTGTCTTGGATTTAGGATTGAAAGATCCACATCCTGGAAAATACCTCAGGCAAATGGTTGGTCACGCGGTGTGATTAGGGCAGAAGGGGGTTCAGTCTTTTCTCTCCCTTCTTTTCAGGACAGTATGTTTCCATTCATGCCAACAAAATTGCTTTAACATTTTTTTAAACTAATACTGAATTTACAAATAACTAAAACCCTTTGATCTGTACCACATGAAATAAACCAATTAAACCAGTCATGTGCTTTTGTGGTTGATCTTTTTTTTAAACCAAGGTATAAGACTTTGAAGCTCTTCAGTAACCTTTTACTTACTAAATTCAGCTATCTTGTGCCCTGGCCTAAAGGCTCAGTTGGTTGGAGTGTTGTCCCTTACACCCAAAAGGTTATGGGTTCGATTCTAGGTCAGGCACATGCCTAGGTTGTGGGTTCAATCCCCAGTCAGGGTGCTTACAGGAGGCAACTGATCAGTGTTTCTCTCTCACCCTCTCCCTCTTCTTTTTTCTCCTTGTCTTCCCTCTCCCTTTGTCTCCCTCTCCTTCTTTCTCTAAAATCAATTAAAAATAAACTTTAAAAAGGAAAAAAAGAAACACAGTATGACAAATTCTCAAAAAAAAAAAATTTGAAAAGTACAACCATATAACTAAGCAGTTCCACTCCTGGGTATATTCCTGTTTATCTTTTTTGAACTTCAGTTCTTGTGACCCTTCTTTCTGTTCTGCCTTTCACATTATTGTCCATTAAGCTAATTTACAAAAGATGCACAATAGTAGAGTTTTGTTGCCCTTTTTAGTTAATAATAGAGCATATACCTCAAGCTCGGGCCCTATCCCTTTGTCTTGTCCCTGAACATATCTGGAGAGATTCGTTCTTTTGCCCTTTGCGTTTTTCCAGGAATTGGTTTTTTAGGTATCAATCTCTGCAATATTTTAAAGGCTTACACGATACGTTGTATTATTCCTCAGTTGTGTTACACCTTTCATCTTTTGTTTATAATCCTTTCAAACACTGCAGCTCATAATGTAGATGAAAATGCCTGGCACCTGGTGAGCACAAGGAAATGTTAGTTGAATCTGACTTATATTTGTTTGTGTCTTTGGACCCTTTTTAGAGCCTGTCAGACCTTCAGTACTCCTAGCTATGGCATCATACCAATCTTTTCTCTTAACTTTTGTCTAGGCTTTTCTACCATTTGTATTGCAACAGATAGAAGAAATTTTCTATCCTTGAGAAGGAAAATTTTTAAATTAAAACTTTTAGGTAATGGGAGAAATTATTAAACTGTTAGATTAAAATTGATTTTATTATATGATCATGACACCAGTCTTTTTATTTTGTCTATTAGCTACCTGTGAAATGTGTGGGATGGTTGGTGTGCGAGATGCTTTTTACTCCAAAACAAAGCGTTTCTGCAGTGTTTCGTGTTCAAGAAGTTATTCGTCTAATTCCAAGAAGGCAAGCATTTTGGCCAGACTTCAGGTAACGGTACAGAAACCTTCTTATTCTTTATATCTGTTATTTCTATGGCTTTCACTGTTTATCTGTCATTTGATGTGATTCACCACACTCCACTCTGCCCCATTGGTCAGTTATCATTTTACACCCCACATTTTTAGGAAATAGCTCCCATGTTTGTTCCACCTGTAGAATTGACAACTATTATAAATAGATAAGGCATATTATCCAGAATAAACTGAATTGTATAAGTGGGTAAAAAAAACCCTTTTTCTAAATAATTATAAATATAATAAATACCTTTCTATATGCAGAAATCGAAGCCATTTTCCCTCTTGTTTTCTTTTGAGTTAACATTAAGGTAGAATCTTTCAGCATTTGAGGGGATATGATTTCCCTTTGGTTTTATTTTCCCATCATTTTTGCTTTGTACTTTTGATAACAACCCATTTGATACCTTGCCCAAATGTATTTGGTTAATCCAACTAACCTTTTTGAAAACATTCATGATATAGAAGGAAAATCATATTTCTCTGTATATCAATACCTACAAAATAACTGGAGAGTTGACCATTTGTCTAAGATTTACTATTGTAGCATATAAACAATGTTTTAAAGGCATTGCATATCTGATTTTTGTAATATATTTTATTTTTGTGATCACATTTTTCTTATTCTCCTTTAATTTATTACTGTGATCATTACATAGCACTGAAAGGATTATTTAAGTCCCCCAAATTAAGGAAATACATCACTTAGATGTATTTCTATATTTCAGAAAGACAGTGCCTAAAGATCCTGAGCATTGGTCTGTACCCAAATGGATGGCAGTTTGTCACACTGTGAATTTGGCCCATGATCATTTTGTCATTGATCTTTTGCGTTAGCGCTAAAGGTATAAACCTCAGTCACTTACTCTTTAAACGTTAAATTATCTTTTCTTACCATATAAATAGCAATGCTTGGCAACCTGCATGAGTGAATAACCACTGGTTTTATCTAGTAAAAGAAAGAATCAAGTATCCACCACAGCCTATATTTTAACATCTTATGGGATGTAATTTTTTATTAACATATTAATTTGCATATTGCTATTTTTGTCTATGCCAGCTCTGCTACCCATATTAGATATCTACATTGTGCCAGAACTCAAGAATACATTTCTCATGTTAAAATTCCTTGTATGTTCCCTCTGCTTTAATAATTTTCTAAACCCTCGATGTTTACTTAAGCAGAATGAGTAGTATGCAATCAAATTAGTTTTTGATGGGGGGGAGGTGAAAAGAATCCTATTTACTTAACTCTTCTTGTTTTAGGGTAAGCCTCCAACAAAGAAAGCAAAAGTTCTTCAGAAACAACCTTTAGTTGCTAAACTAGCCGCATATGCTCAGTATCAAGCTACCTTGCAAAATCAAGCAAAGACTAAAGCAGGTAATGTGAGTGAATGTAATAGAGGTGAAATAATTTGATAGATTCATCTAGTTTTAATTAGTGACATTCTAATTTGGTTTCTAGTAAACTAAGCTATTTCTATGCCCTATTAGCACATGACACTAGGCTTCCTGATGACGGTTTTGTCCCGTACTTGTGACAGCGTCCTTTATATTAATGGTTTTTATCTGGTTTGGTATTTTTTATGTACTGTTTGTCAGTGCTTTGGGTGGTAGGGAGCGTTGTGAAGGTAATTGGCAAAGAAATAGGACATTCAGCAGGCTTCAGGGGGGTTGGGTAGAAGCGAGTCAAAAGAGGAAAGGACCATTCTAATAGGATATTCTCTGGCCGGGAGGTAAATAAGGAGTAAAGTAATGAAAGCCCTACTTTTAGGTGGTAGATACTGGATAGACTTAGCCCTGAGGTTCACGTAAGAACTGTGTGGGAATAAAAACAAAAGTAGCCATAGCCATGTTAGTTATGAACACCTGCTCAGCTGTTCGTTGCTTCTCATAACTGGAGAGCTCTTAATTCACTTCTGAGGAGTATTTGTTGTATGTAAAAGAGTTTAACTGCTATTTGTTTGCAAATGTGACTGATGCCAAAATTCATGTTCATCTAGAGAAGTTCTTTAATCTTTACATAAAAACACAACTTTAAAGGTGCTAAGTTAATTTTATATCATTTCACATTTTAAAATAATAGCCTTTTTAAAGATAAAAGATTTGAGAATTGTAATATATCTAAATTTCTTTTTATTTCAACAGTAGTCTCCATGGAAGGTTTCAGCTGGGGTAACTACATCAATAGCAATAGCTTTATAGCAGCTCCAGTTACCTGCTTTAAACATGTGAGTATGGAATTTCTCACCTCAAATTGAAATGCTTATTTATTGCTAAATCTGGAGATACAATAACACCTAAGCATCTTATCCTTAGATCTTTATTTTATACCTTGTAATGGAAATGTTTTTTATTATACCTATCAATAGCTAAAAAATAACTTCTATAAGTTTTATAAGTAAAAGCTTTTTATAAAGGAGTTGCAATCTGAAATTATTTTAAACAAGGAAAAATACTAATCTCATCCAATTTTTATATTAAGATGCTGGTTTTGTATAAAAAATAGTTATACAGTGGCAATGTCATGTGATTCAACAATAGAAATCATCTATCATGTATGTTACCTAAATCTTTGTGATTTGACCTGATAATTCAGAAAAGAAAGGGTCTGTCTTCCAGTTTTATTTTTGTCTCCAAATGTAAAAGCACCAAAGCACAGAAGGAACTATTAGTAATACAGTATTGTGGGCTGAAATATGTGGTATATATATCATGCATAACCCATTCCTAGATTTTTTTTTAGCAAGTAGATTGTTACAGAGCATCAGAAATTATTCAGTTATGTTTAAAATGTATCTGATGATAAGTTCTTTCCTTTTGATTCTATTTATTTTTGATTCAAGAGCCTGTGATAAACTATCTGCATTTTTTTTTCTACAATGCTTTTGTAACCTGACTACAAGTTCAATTTATATATAAAGGTTCTATCTGCTACTGACCATGTATAAAAAAGAGAATTTAGAAAAATAATGAATGAAATTTTGTTGACACTTAACATTTTATTAAGTTAGGGCTATACTTTTAAATAATAGCATGTAAACAAAACTGAGTTTGAGCTCTTGCTGTGGAAATCCAAATGAATTTTCATTCATTCATGGCTAATACAAGATCTTGATCAAGGCCAAGCATATTAATTTAGTGGTAGAAATATAAATTAAAGCAAGTTCACTCATTTGCTGGTTTTCTTTCTTGAAAGTACAAGTGTTAAGCCCTTAGTCCTGGTGGCACAGTAACTATCTGAACCAACTTAAGTGGAATCTTAGATACTTATCACAGTGGAACTTGGGTGATTTCTTTTGCTGTAATGTTGATAGTGGTGTCCCATTTGTGAGAGCTATTAAATACATGGCAACAGCAGCTTTAAAGAGAATTGCTAAACAAATCTTTAACTGTCTCTTGGGATAGTTCCTTCTGGTACTAAGAAGCGCAGAATTAGTTTGCTTTCAGTTGTAATAAGTCTTTCATCCCAGATTCCTGGAACACTTGTCTGTTGTCTCCTGAATAGCCTTTATTCTTTACTATCTTTATTTTAATATTGGTTTTTATGTTTCAATATCATAAGCCATGTCTAGCTATTTTATGTAAGTAGTCAAGAATATTTTTTAAATAGCATATCAAAGTCCCAATTTCATGTTTTATTTCACATCCATATCTTTGAATAATAAAACTATATTAAAATTCTTTGTAAGAAAATCTCAGTTATAATAATGAAATTGATTTTCTTTTCAACTTTGCTTTTAGATTAAAGTATTATCCTATATAATAAAAGGGTAATATGCAAATTGTCCATTCGACCAGAGTTCAACCAGGGGCAGGGCCGGTCCACCAACCTCCTGTGTTCCCCTCCCCCAACCCCCCCCAGGGTGGGCCAGCCAGACCCCACCATGCACTGGGCCTCTAGTTATATAAATAGAGCATCTAGCTTTAATCGTGTTATCAATAATGAATGCTGTGGCCCTGGCAGGTGTGGCTCAGTTGGTTGGAGCATACACCAGAATGTGGTGGGTTCGATTCCTGGTCAGGGCACATATCCAGGTTGCAGGTTCAGTCCCTGGTTGAGGCACTTAGGGAGGCAACCGATCAATGTTTCTCTCTTATCTGTCTATCTGTATCTCAGTTTCCCCCCTTACCCTCCCTCTTTCTAAATCATTTTTTTCCTTTTTTCTAAAATCAACTTTAAAATAATAATAATAATAATACAGTGGAGACTCCTCCTTTGCACGCAGAGGCAAGGCATCTGTTACCGAGTGCCTTTCTGCTCCACTCATCTTTCTTTACTGCCTTCTCCTTATCAAATAGGAAAAAACTTACATTGGTAATTTCTAAGTATATATTAGTACTAATGAGTTTGCTTTGTGGCTTAACCAGCATCTTCATCTGAAACCATTTGGTTTAGGAGATCACACCTCATGCTACACTTGATTTTGTTGTTTAGAGTTGACTCTTCATGGTTCTCCCCCTGAGATACGTTTTTAGGTCTCCAGGGAGGGTTACTAGCTTTGGCTTTAGAAAACCTACTGTCGGCATCAGCTGGAAACACGAGATCTGCCTAACACTGGTTCATCACTAGGGCCTGCTTCCTCCAGACTCTATGTACGCCTTGTCTTCAACATGAGCACAGGTTGGGAGCCTTTCCCTGCTAGGGGATTCTTTATTCAAACATAATTTTTAAAAAATCCAATGTGGCCCTAGCTGGTTTGGCTCAGTGGATAGAACGTCAGCCTATGGGCTGAAGGGTCCCGGGTTCGATTCCAGTCAAGGGCACATGCCCAGTTGCAGGCTTGATCCCCACTAGGGAGTGTGCAGGAGGCAGCTGATCAATGATTCTCTCTCCTCATTGATGTTTCTATCTCTCTCTCCCTCTCTCTTCCTCTCTCTAAAAAGAAATCAATAAAAACATACTTTAAAAACAACAACATCCAGTGTGTAACATGGAGTTGTTCTGATTGAACCAGGAATTTGGGGGATGGTGGTGTGATAACTGCAGTATTTATGCATAGTGGTTTATACTCAATTACAACAGCATTTGATGTTTTTTATAATTTAGCAATGGAAATGAAGCTCAGTTGTCATTAAATGTATCTACTTAGAAATCTGTATATTATGGTTGCCACATTTCTGATGTATCTTTTTTATCTAGGTGGTAGTTTTCAGACTTTTTTTTTTTTTTAAGCATCAGCATTCCCCTTTTCCCTAATAAACATAGCTAGGATAAGAGGAAGCTGTTCTGATTGTCTGAAAGAGGTGTGGGGGTTGGGGGTCAGTTGGGGAAAAAGGAGACATATGTAAAACTTTAGACAATAAAAAAAATAGAAGGAATAAGGACACATATGTAATACCTTAATCAATAAAGAAAAAATTAAAAATTAATTAATTAATTTTTTAAAAAAAAGGTGGGATGGAATGGCTAGAGCCTTGGCCCTTGGCTCCCCCTTCCTTGGCAGTCCCTGAGGTTGGAAACCACTGAGTTAGACAATATCATTTTTAATTCAAAGTCATATGGCACAAAACTGTGAGTCATCTTTAAAATCATCTAGTTCAGCCCTGCCCCAGTAACTCGGTTGGTTAGAGCATTGTCTCCATAAAGACTGTAGTCTTTTAAGTTGAAATGCTCCTATTTCCCATGATTTGCCTTATAAAATCAAGTAAAACATTCCCTAGGTATTATAGCAGGGGGCAAAATGCATCAATATCAAATGTACATGAGCCACACAAAAGCTAAAATCCTCCTCCTTCAGTTATGTGTTTGCAGGTTTCATATTTCTTTTGTTTGGTCCCTGGACTATATACTCTGGTGTCTTGTCATTGTGATCACTAAAGCCAGAAATGCTAACATTCTGCTTTTTTTCCCCCTTGAAAATAGTTTTAGTTTTCTATTTTTTTTAAAAGGTCCTTTTTACATGTGTGCCATAACTTTAAAGCTGAGTTTACTACACTTTTTCATCCTGCCTCCACAAATTGTAGCTGATACCTTTCTTGATATTTTCTAATCCTTTCTTTGCAGCATGTATCACAATTATATTTTTAAATTTTAAGAATAAAAGAAAAGCCCTTTTGTATGTATATGTACAGTAACAGTAGTTTATAGTAATACTTATCTGTGTCTCAGATATGTGCTTATTAAAATAATCTTTCAATTAAAAAAATATTTTTCCCTAACCTTGACCACACATAGGCACTTACTCATTGAAAGTTGAAAATAAATATGACTTCGCATTCATTTTAACTATGTTAGACTCTTCACTATATCATCCTAGATGGCAGAATTTCTTTCTAATGGAAATAAAACTTAAATTTCTGGCACTTAGTAGTGCCCCATCTGAGTTAGCTGTTGTCTTGCCACAAATGATTCTTTCCAGGAAAGCAGTGAACTGTAATACAATAAAAATCACCAGTTTTAAAGAAATCCTAAGTAATCTAGATTATTTTCTTTTTTTTAATTTTTTTCTTTATTGATTAAGGTATTACATATGTGTCCTTATCCCCCTATTGCCCCCACCCCCTAGATTATTTTCTTAAACAATATTGGTTTAATGTGGGGTTTTTTTAGTTATGTACTGTTTTATGTCATTCAAACTAGTAACCACGGCTTTTCCTTTTTATGTGCACATGGCATTCTCTCGTTTGTAATCCTTTCACCCCAAACATCCCATTTTCCTTTTGTACTTGCCTTGCAATTCCCATCTCCCAGCTGCCACCACCCCAAAAAATAGATTCTAGTATCCAAGGTGAATGGGAGTGATTTTTTTTTCTGTTTCTGCTTCCTGTTAATTCTAGCAAGTAGTATTTAGGAGCTCTAATTTCTTTCTAGTTAATTTCCTATAATGTTTTCTTCCTTTTTTTAGCCAAATATTTCATCTTTTTCTACTTGATGCACTTTAGTAATCATATGCCTATTAGTCTTAAAATATTCTAATGATGGCTTTTTCTGCATTTACCATATCATCATTGGGGTTGATTTTTTTTTTTATTACCTATATACAATTTCAAGTCTAACCTCTGCCCACTTAAATTCTATTAATATTGAAGATTGTGTGTGATTAGCAAAAGTTACAAGTTGGCCCTGGCCAGTGTGCTCAGTGGTTGGAGCGTCTGTCCCCAGACCGAATGGTTGCAGGTTCGATACCTAGTCCAGGACAGGAACCTCGATCGCAGGTTCCCCAGCCCTGGTAGAAGCGAGTGCAGGGGCGAGTGTAGGAGCGAGTCAATTGATGTGTCTCTTCACGTCGATGTTTCTCTCTCTCTCTTTCTGTCTCTCTCTTTCTCTCCCCTTCTCTCTCCCACTCTCTCTAGAGATCAATGGAAAAAATACCCTCAGGTGAGGATTAAAAAAAAAATTATAGGTTGGCAGCTCTATGGAAGGAAATCTGTATTTCTGCCGTGAATCAGCCCTCTGAGAGTCTAAATGCCAGCCACCCAGGCTGCTGGACTGTCTGGGAACGGTCTTGAAGTGCAGAAAATAAGGCTTCCCATCGAATTACTTCCTTGCAGACAGTCAGGTGGAGGTTATGCATTTGTGCTGGGGAGCCCTCAGCATTTGGACGTGGCCGTGTCCGCAGGACCTGATGATAGCTTACCTTGCAGGGAAGGACAGTCGCTCCCAGATAACACGAGATCTGCCTGGAGCAGGAAGTGGTGAAGCAGATCTTCCTGGTTTGGGAGGAGCCTGAGGTGGACCTCTCGCCCTGAGTCTGGAAGGTAAATTTGTTGTTACCTGTAAATTATGGTTCTGCTAGTTCATGCTATGCCAATCCAGACTTTCAGAGGTATCCCTCCTGCCAGCAAGAGAAGACAGATGACTTGGATGAAGATGGCTGTCAAGCCCTGGGTCATTTAGTCTTCCACACTTAAGAATATTCATTTTAAACAAAAGGGTATTATCTATAAAATTACCTTATTTCAACACATCGAGCACATACTATTCAGTGACTGTTGTGCTCTTTTTTGTTGTTTTTTTCTACTTTTTTTTTCTCAGAGTAAACCATATGGATTGGTTTAAGAGGGCCTAGCAGAACCACAAACTTACAGGCAAGAACAAATGTCACTTTCTGCTACTTTCTCCTATACCAATCCAGACTGTAGGGACCAGAACATAATATCCCCTGCTAAAGTCAACATGAACTTAATTTTTTAAGTGAGCATATTGATACTTTATTTTCTTTAATGTGACTAAAAGTTATTTTCTCCAAATAATTGTTAAGGCTTTTTAAAAAAAAATCAGTATGACATTGTCATATCTAGTTCAAAAAGGAGTCCTGTCTGCCAAATGTACTTAGCAATGTGCCAACATAAACCCCAGCTATTCAGCAATACCATGCCTCTTTCTTCTCAATGAAAAATAAACCCATTCCATAAGATTTGGCAGCCAAACACAGAGGGATGAATGAATACCCTACCTTAATTCAATACATACATTTAACTACATCTGTCGACTCTAATTGGTCCATCCTCACAGAATTGAATACATGGTCTTTGTGTTAATTTATCTTAGCTTAATCTGTGTTACTGTCTTCCTCCCAGCCTCTCCTTTTCTGGTCATATCTGCTGGCAATAGGGATGGCCCTACAGTCTAGAGTGATACAGGGGGAGATAGCAGAACCCGAAGAGTCCAGTATTTCCGTTTTTTAAAAAAGCAGGAAGAGGTCATCATGACGGAGGTATTATTTTTTTTGCACAGCTCAGGGAGGTAGTTAATCTATCCTTCCAGAATCACACATAGTTGAGATAGGCCACTGTCTTCAAGTTTGTTTGCTACTTCAAGCAATAGCCATAAATTGATTCTGTGTTTGGTGCCAGACTTATCCTAGCTCGGTATTATTTGACATTTTCTTCCTCTCCTTCAGAAGTTCCATGTAAAATATTGAGAGGATAGGGTTCGAGTACTGTTTTAGGCTAATCCTCCTGTTGGGTTAGCATTTGCCAATGTATGGAAGGTTTTGCATGGAAAACATTGCCTAGTGTTCAAATTGGCTAGATCCTGTGACTCCTAGATGTCTTTGTGTTTACTCATCTTTGAGCCTTGAAGCTATTTTGTCTTTTCCTGATTTGCTCGTATTATCAGGTCTTTTATAATGTCACCTAATCATGATCAAGGTTCTGAATTATATTTCCTGGAGCTGATATCAAAGGCCATAGAGACTGTTGAGTATGATCAGCATTTATATTCCTGAATTCACTCATTTGATTTAATTTACCATTGCATACGCTCCAGATAATTGTAAATGGCCTCAAGTTATAAGGATTAAAATGTAATGGAAATTGTAATTTAGGAACATATGTGAATTTTGGAAAATCCCTTCATGATAGTTGTTTAGTTGGTTTTCCGAATCCTCATTTTAACCTTTTGTTAAAGGTTAAAATAACCTTTTGTTAAAGTAGTCTGGAGGCTACTGATTACCGGTTCTAACATTGAAGGTTTTCTTTTTGTTTACAGTAACTCCTGCATGAGAAATTTAGAAATAACAAATTATTTAACAAGTTACTATGGTATGCATCTTCAAAAACTCTTCAACTCCCACTTTTAAATAACTTTACCCAGTGCTTTTGCCACATGTCTGTTTATCAGGCTATATTTCTGTTCTATGAATTTAACTAAGTTGAAAATACAGATATTTAAGTTTTGTTTCTCCTTTGTTATTGGAAACCACATTGCTGATGGGAATTTTTTTCTTTCTGCTCTTTGGTGAGATCTTTTAAAATTAGAGATTAAACTAAAGTATATTTATTCAGTGCATATTAAAAATAATGAGTTTCTTAAGTCAACTTTATCCTGTGAAGTCCCTCAAGTTGTGATTCAGTTTTTATAAAAATTACTTCTCAAGTCTTGTATTAGGACAGCATTGAATTTTGGTTGACATGGATCTATTCTAATACATGTGAATCCTCTTCATCTTGAGCTTGACCTTGTCACTGGATTTTTACAAATAGAATTCTGTGAAAAGGGGAATAACAATTATATTTTTAAAGAAAAGTGAATGGATTAAATGGCATTTTTAGTTTAATATTTTTATTATTGATAGTAATGCTTAATTTTGAATGGTATGTTTTAGGTTTTATGTTAATAAGATGATAATTTAGTAATTTTTATATGACAGGCACCTATGGGGACCTGCTGGGGTGATATCTCAGAAAATGTGAGAGTAGAAGTTCCCAATACAGACTGCAGCCTACCTACCAAAGTCTTCTGGATTGCTGGAATTGTAAAATTAGCAGGTGAAAAGCACGCATCTTGTTCTAGAAAATGTCAATTATGTGTGTAACTTTTAAGGAAACATATTTGTAAATTTTGCAAATGTTGCCAAATAAATAAATATGGTATTAGGGCAGGGGTTGGCAAACTTTTTCTGTTAAAAGCCAGACATAAGTATTTTCAGCTTCTTGGGCAAAACAATCTGTCACAACTATTCAACTCGACCATTGTAGCATGAAAACAGCTATAGCAGTACACAAATGAATGGGCATGGCTGTGTTTCAGTAAAACTTTATAGCCACTGAATTTGGGTTTTATATAAATGTCACCTATTATGAAATACTATTCTTTGTTGTTTTTTCAATCATTGAAAATGTAAAAACCATTCTTAGATGGCAGACTATAACACATCAGGCCAGCCCTGGCCAGTGTGGCTCAGTTAGTTGAGCATCATCCCGTGCACTCCAGGTCAGGGCACATGCCCAGGTTGTAGACTCGATCCCCCGGTGGGGGGGGTGCAGGAGGCAGCCAATTGATGTTCTCCTTTCACCTTGATGTTTCTCTCTGTCCCTCTCCCTTCCTCTCTCTCTCAAAATCATTAAAAATATATTTAAAAACAACAACAAATCAGACCAGATCTGTGAGCCATAATAGAGTTTGCCAACCCCTGGAATAGGAAAATACTTTGAAAAGTAACACACAGTAGAGGTATTAAAAAAAAAGTGATAAGAGTCACAATAGCAAAAGTAAACTAGTATTGATAATTTCATGTATCTTGAATTCTTCCTTTTTCTTCATGTCCATTACTTTTGTGTACCCTGATCCTTTATTACCTTATTGCTCATGAAGTAAATGCATTAGGTATTTACTCTGTTAGACACTGTAGGCAGGTGATGTGCAAAAGTGTAAGACTTGGTTTTTTTCTGTGAGCTTACATCTGCCAAACGTTGAAAAAGTTTATGACAAGGTGCTCAGTGAGTGGTGGTGTCACAGGGCACTGTAGTACTTTAGGGGAGGGACAGCCACTCAAATAAGAAAAGTTGCCCTTAGATTACTGGAAGAGGTGTCTTATCCTGCTCTTTCTAGTCCTATCCAGAAATTCTCCCCCAGTCATCGATAGACTTAACTTACCTAAAAATGATCTTAATTCCATTTTTCCAAATGAAATGTCTTTAATGCACAAATGAATAGGCATTTCTCTATTTTTGTTGCTCTTCTTCAAGACCTTTCTGGCTTCTTTGTCCTTAAAGGGTGAAGACGGTCAGCATTTACAGCCATTTGAGTTGCACCGTATACCAATGACCAAATCTTTTGTTGCTCCCCAATATAAGTCATCTGTTCTAAAGAGATTAATCTTCCTCCGCCCTCACACAGTGTGTTCTCTGTCATCTCCGTGCCTTTGCTTACTCTCACAACAATGTCCCATGTTTGGTACTTGGCGTATAACCCAATTCATTTCCTATCTTTTCCTTGAAATGCTTCCCCTGCTATGTAAGCATTCTCCAAATGCTACTCTTATCCTCTACACCATAATTTAAAGCAGCAATATATTTTTTCTGTCCTAGGTGTTCAAATCCGTTGCATTTAATATCCGAGAATTATTTCTACCTTCCGTCTCTGATTTTACATTTCTGTTTTATCTAATTGCCTCATATATCTTATTCTAAGCCACTTTAGTGATGTTTTAGAAGTGAGCCTGGTGTTAATCATGAACTAGAACTCAGCAACAGTTAGCAAACTCATGAATTATTCTGTGACTTACTGCATTTTAAAACTAAAGGTGTAATGCTATAAATTTTTATCATAGATATTAACATATAAAGGCTCACTAAATGTAGCTCCCGGCCTGAAATATAAGTTTAATTTTTATTATTAAAAACTTATTCTACTAAACACCTTAAATTAAACATTAATCTATTTCAACATAAGATTTTATTAAATATAAATAGGTTATATCTTATGCTTTCTGTTATTTCTATAAAATACATCTTCCTATTTGCTTAGTACATATAGTTTTTTAAGTGATTTCACAGACTTTCATCTGTGTTTATTGAATTTCTTTACTTAGCATTTTCAAGTCTTATTTCCAAATAAACAGGACAGAAAAATTTAGACTCTTGAAGTAGCTAAATCCAAATTATCCAAGAATAATTGGTCGCCTGTTGAGCTGAGTAAAATAATTTCTTTGAAATGTATTTTAACTGTGTTTCTCTGACTTGAAAAGATTTTATTAACTAACCATACACAATCTTCTTTCTTTTATTTTCAAAACTACACATTCTAATAGAACTTTCCCAACCCTGTTTTCATTGTGAATTTCTGTTTTAAAATGTAAGAAACCATGGGTAAAATTAAAATATATTCTAAGGAGGAAGCCATGCTTTGAAAACAGTAAAACTAATTGTACTGTACAAATGGTTCTCAAAGTCTGATCCATACACCAGGGGCAGCAGCATCACCGGGGACTTGTTAGAAATGCACATTCTCAGACTGACCCAAGATCTGCTGAACCAAAATCTCAGGGCTGGGGCCTAGCCATCTGTTCTCAGCCCTGCAAGTGTTTCTGTTGCAGATACACACTAACGTTTTACAACCATCGCCAGCAGCTAGATCCTATTTTATTTCTCTTATTTTCTCCTTATGTGGTGATTAATTTGTTGGTTTCAGGTTACAACGCCCTTTTAAGATATGAAGGATTTGAAAACGACTCTGCTCTGGACTTCTGGTGCAATATATGTAGTTCCGATATCCGTCCGGTTGGCTGGTGTGCAGCCAGTGGGAAGCCTCTTGTCCCTCCTAGAAGTAAGTAGTTTACCTACCCTTACTGTAATATAAATGCACATACTTAAATGCAGTTTCACTCAGAGTAACATTAAGGTGATACAGAAATTAAGAATATATTTTTTGGTTTCAATTAACTTAATTGCTCGCAAGACATATTTGTTTTCTCTATTTTTGTTGCTCTTCAGGACCTTAATATTCTAAATTGCAAGGAAATTTGTTACTTTTTTTATTAACAAATACTTTATGCAGCAATTCACTCTTCACTAAGGTGTAACTGGTTATTTCTTTTGTTTTAGCTATTCATCATAAGTATACGAACTGGAAAGCTTTTCTAGTGAAACGACTTACTGGTGCCAAAACACTTCCTCCCGACTTCTCACAAAAGGTAAAGATGGAATCTTAGAAAAGGACTGAAGTGTCAAATGAGAGCTCTGTAAAAAGGAGTAACTTTCAAGTTTTTAAGGAATTGTTTTAATTTAGTGAGCCAGAGCGGTAGTAAATATCATTATTTTTAATAGTGCAATAGTAAAATAATTTGCAGACTTCTGTCATGAATCCCAAAGAGTTTTTGTCTGCTTTTGTTTCAAGGTTTCAGAAAGCATGCAGTATCCTTTCAAACCTTGCATGAGAGTAGAAGTGGTTGACAAGAGACATTTGTGTCGGACACGAGTAGCAGTGGTGGAAAGTGTAATTGGAGGACGATTAAGACTAGTGTATGAAGACAGTGAGGATAAAACAGATGACTTCTGGTGCCATATGCACAGCCCACTAATCCATCATATTGGCTGGTCTCGAAGCATAGGCCATCGATTCAAAAGATCTGGTAAGCGCCTGTCATGAGAACTCCTATTGACAATGTCATTGAGGCTGAAGTCTGCTACTTGGTTATTTTTCTCTACAGAATAGCATAGGTCAAAGATAGCATTCTGGTTGTCTGGGCAGCTTATTCTACCGTAATCGAGAAGCTTCACACAGAATATTTGTGTCCTAATTCCTTCTTCCACTCGTCCTCAATGAAAAAATAATGCACTTCTGGTCACAACTACATTTGTTTTCTTACATTTTTCTTATCCACCCCATTTGAAAGATCTAAATCTTTATCCTTTCTCTTTCCATTCAATTTTAATCAAAAGAGCAGAATTACATGTGGTTAAACTTAATACTAAACACATTAAAATACACTTAAAGTTAGAATTCCCTCATTAGGGAATTATCAGCATTCTAATTGGCTGAGTGTACTTAATGGCACATGTACTCTGAAGAGAGAAAGACTATTAAAGGTTATTAATCATAAATGTAGAAGGCATATGTTTTTGCCGTGTTTTAGAGTATACATACCTTGTGAGTTTGAAACCTTCAAAGAAACGTGGTTTTTGGTCTTCTCACAAATGCTGACAGATTAGTATGTAACTTTTCCTTGTAGATATTACAAAGAAACAGGATGGACATTTTGATACACCACCACATTTATTTGCTAAGGTAAGAAGTTTTTATAAGAACCCTCATTTGTAAATTATGTTTAAAAGAGGGTTGTGGGTTTTTTTTCCTAAAATTATAGAAATCACAATTACATATGTTCACTTAAAAGGATTAAGACCTTATAATTCATTGGTGTCACAACTATTGATTATAATTATTTTTAAATTCTGTCTGTTTGCCTGAATTCTCTCTGTTCCCTAATGAAAGTTTGCATTAAAATATTAGGTAGGTAGGAGAAGGCATTTGGTATTTCCATCTGGTAAACCTTTTCAAATTGGTAACATTTTCATTATTAAAATGATAATATTTGTAACAGTGATGTGCTTTCCTGTAATTCTTTAGGTAAAAGAAGTGGACCAGAGTGGAGAATGGTTCAAGGAAGGAATGAAATTGGAAGCTATAGACCCATTAAATCTTTCCACAATATGTGTGGCAACCATTAGAAAGGTACAAGAATGGGTTTTAAAATACAGGAATGCAGTTATAAGAACTGTTTTTAAAGTTACAGGAGAAGGAGGCCCCTAATAGAATTCTTTTTGACATAAAATGTGTGAGTGTGTATCTTCACTGGGGAGACGAGACAGTTACAAGTATCTAAAGTGACTTTGAATTCTCTTATCAGAGGTTCTCCTCTTGTATAGCTTGTTAAGATTGTCCTCTTGAGTCAAGTATATCCTAAATTAGAGGAAGAATATTTAAGTTACTTCCTGGTCCAAACTAGTCCAACACAGAATTGTATTGTAACAAGGCCAAGTTTATCTTCAGTTTCCTGTGTTAACTTTTTGTGCCTTTTCCTTCCTTTTGGTAGGTAGTACTTTCTTTTTTTTATTTTTTATTTTTCCTCTTTTCTGAAACTGCTTATAAGAAAAGATTTAAAAGAGTGGTTCTCAGTTCTCAGGCCTAAGAATCCCCTGGCAAGCATTTTTCACTTTTAAGAAATCTTTTATGTCATAGATTTTCCTTTCCTTTAGTATGTTACTTAAACTTAAAGGGTCATTTTTGTAATAGTGGTGTCTAGCCCTAACTGGTCTGGCTCAGTGGATAGAGCCTCGGCCCGCAGACTGAAGGGTTCTGGGTTCGATTTCAGTCAAGGGCATGTGCCTTGGTTGTGGGCTGGATCCCCAGTAGGGGGTGTGCAGGGGGCAGCTGATTGATGTTTCTAACTCTCTATCCCTCTGTAAAAATCAGTATGTTTTTTAAAAAATAGTGGTGTCTAATTTCAAATACTTGGAATTCTTTTCATTTAAAAGGTGCTGGCTGACGGATTCCTAATGATTGGGATCGACGGCTCAGAAGCAGCAGATGGATCTGACTGGTTCTGTTATCATGCAACCTCCCCTTCTATTTTCCCTGTTGGTTTCTGTGAAATTAACATGATTGAACTTACTCCACCTAGAGGTACTTCATCCTAATACACATACTGGGTTTTCATTCTTGCTTTCCTTTTATGTGATATCTGTTTACAACATTTAACACAGCCCTAGGCTTCTTGCTGTGTGAATATCTGTGTATATATTGCATATATGAATATATGCACACACAACAAGAGCTGTGAGGTGGTCTAAAATCAAAGCCCTGTATTCCAGGTAGCTTTTATAAATTGTTAGTATAGAATTTTTTCTGAGCATCCATATACTTTATAATATGAATTTGTATTCTCAAGCCCTGTTGAAATGGTGATTAAGCTCAATAGGTTATTGCATACATTTAACTGGTTTTTTTAAGTAGATACTTTAGTGTTGAGGGGGCAAGTTTCCATTTTTAGAGTCATGTGGCTTTTTAAAAGAAGGTAGAACCTTAAATAGCTCTCGTGGCTTAACTAACAACTTCTCTGATTTTAATATCTGAGCCTATGGTTTTTCTTTTAAGAAAAGAAGGGGGGTGGGGGGGGACAAACCCAGATGTCTGTAAAAAATAGTATTAGTTCAGTGAGTTTTCTTTCTTGCAAAGAAAAAAATGTCACTGGAAGGTGTTAAATGCTAGACTGTTCTAAGCCTGGGGTTGAGAAAGCAGAAGTCTGTAGTTCCTGTGGTGACAGAGGAAAGGAGAGTCACGTTTGCATTAGGATAAGTGGGTATACCAGTGTCTATCTAGAAAAGAAGGAAAATCTTTATCACATGGAGGAGCTGTGAGACTCAACAGTATTAGAGCGTGAATATAACCTCAAACCTGAGCCTGCGCTGAGTTGCTTGTTACCTGCTTTTAGTATTACGCTAATTTTAAATGAACTGCTACTTAAACCACTTGTGTCCTACAGGTTACACTAAACTTCCTTTTAAATGGTTTGACTACCTCAGGGAAACTGGCTCCATTGCAGCACCAGTAAAACTATTTAATAAGGTAAATTTCACTGATGGCATGATTATGTGGAATTGTACACAAAAATGTACATCATTATTGAGAAACTATCTGCTTTTATTAGAATTTCTTAGTGGACATTTATATATGTATTTTTTTATTTTTGTTATTTTTTTCTTTCCTTTTTTTTTGGAGATTTATATTTTAAAAAATAGAGAGTAATAAAACAATATAAATACTTCCTTTACCTAGGAGATGAAGCTTGTTTCCAAACAGGGTTTCATTTTTTAATCTGAGTAACATAAAAATGAATATGTTGCCTATCTAGTTCTTAAATGCTTCACCTTCACACGTTTCAGTGACTAAAGAATTATTGGGGAATTTTTGGTTTAAATTACATTATGTGGTTATGTTGCTCCCTTTCTTTCCCTCTCATAGTGATACTGGAGTTATGCATTCGTCTTCTCACCAGTATTAATGTTTTGCTTCTCCATGTCAGGATGTTCCAAATCACGGATTTCGTGTCGGAATGAAGTTAGAAGCAGTAGATCTCATGGAGCCACGTTTAATATGTGTAGCCACAGTAACTCGAATCATTCATCTCCTCTTGAGGATACACTTTGATGGATGGGAAGAAGAATATGACCAGTGGGTAGACTGTGAGTCTCCTGACCTCTATCCTGTAGGGTGGTGTCAATTAACTGGATATCAACTACAGCCTCCAGCATCACAGTGTAAGTTGGTATACAGAAAGGTGTCCTTTTGTAAAAGTCAGCAGTTCTTCAGTGGACTGTCTCACAATGATCATCTTGTGAGCTCACAGGACAAGAATATACCTATGTCTGATTGGTTGCCAGGTAAGATCTTAAGACTCAAAAACAGTATCACAGCATTAGACCATGTGTACCATGTACCATGGCCATGCAAACTCATAGTGAGTTTCCTAACGACTATAGAAACACAATAGTAAGAGCACTTACCACATTAAAGTCGGCCTATTTTAATGAGTTTAAAATGATAGGCCAATAATTTACTGGAACATGATAAGTGCTTATTGAATAGATAGTGGAATCTGTCTGGTATTGAGGTTTATGGTTTTATCAGAACAAGCACTCTTATTTTCAAAGCATCATGTAATTTTACAAGTATAACAGTTCTTGATAAAGATAGTTCATTTAAGTTGTACCTATGGTTAGTGGTAAGCAATTATCTTGTACCAATTTTCCCTTTTATCTTTCAGCGACAAGAGAAAGCCAATCAGGTTCATCAAAACAGAAGAAAAAGGCTAAGTCCCAGCAATACAAAGGACATAAGAAAAGTGGGTCACCACATGGTGTTTATATACATTTCCTAAATTGTTAACCAATTGGGGTCACGGTATTTTTGCACAAAAAGTGATATCCCTTGTGAGAGCTGATGACTGTGCGTTGTGTATTACACTTAAAGGTGCAGTATGCCATAAAAGGCAAACATTTGCAATAATGAGAACCACATATTTTAATTGACAGGAAAAATGATTATAACATATATGGTAAAGAATAGAATCTACAAATGATTCTTGAAATAATATGTTAACCTACTGGAAATTAATTTTAAAAAAACATTTTTATTTAAAAATTTTAAAAGCAGATGCTTGATGCTTATAATAGACTTGGAGCCTAATAAACCCAAAACTCTTATAAAACTAAACTCTAGAACAGTACTTATAAGAAATTCAAGTGGATAGCTAGCAAAGTCAAACTTAAGAAAATTTTTAAAAATATGCTTTTTATATTTTACCTTACAATGAATGGTTACTGGGGTTAATAGCCAAATATATTGATAGCTCTGATTCTTTTTTCTTTTTTTATTGATTTTTTACAGAGAGGAAGGGAGAGGGATAAAGAGTTAGAAACATAGATGAGAAACATCGATCAGCTGCCTCCTGCACACCCCTTACTGGGATTGTGCCCGCAACCAAGGTACATGCCCTTGACCGGAATCGGAACCTGGGACCCTTCACTCCACAGACCAGTGCTCTATCAACCGGTCAGGGCTAGCTCTGATGCTTTTAAAATCTTTTTCCTCCACCATAGAGAGCCACAGATTCTCTTCATGAAGATGGTCATGGAATATTTCATTCGAAGATACAATTTTTTTCATGTAAAGATATTTTTAAAAGTAAAAAGTACATTTGAAGGTTAAGACTAAATCAGTTTTTTCCCAGCTGACTTGCCGTAAATTCAAATAAGTGCTAATCTGTCTCATTAGCAACCGGGAGACTGAAGAAGCATAAAAAGAAAAAATCAATATGTCCTAACCTTCCCGGTCATAATTGTTGGTTTGTAATTCTTCCTGCGGGAACTTGAAAACTTCCACCAACCACTGCACTGGTGCTTTGGTTTCCTTCCAGCACAGAACCCAGACCGCCTCACAGGAGTGAGAACTTGTAGGCCTGTCTCGTACCCTCTCTTTGTATTGGAGACATGAGTTTCCCATAGGCCCAGAGTTATTTTGCCCACTAGCTGCTTGCCGTTTGATATTCAGACTGCAGAGAGCATTGCCAGACCAGGCCGGCCACAGTGATGTCCCATTTATCTGGAAATGACGAGGGAGAAGTCACCGGGAACTTGGTCAGTGGACCAGCCGTGGTAGATGTGAGCCCTAAGCTTTCTGTACGGTTGATGAGCACGGCTGCTTGAGCTGTCTTTTCTCTTTGATTGGACAAGACTTTGAGATTCCAGAAATTTCTTTCCAAGATGTTGAATGTCAGAATGTTTTTTATTACTCAATGGTTATATGACGATATTTTTCACAACTAGTTTCTGACTATTGTGTACACAATTCACACGCCTCTCTAGTGTGGCACTTGCAGGGTTTGTTTCTGGCTTATGGAGCTTAATGTGGTAGGAACATAGGTAGAAATATGAAGTGATAATATCAGTATCCCAGTTTTTAGTGACATTTAACATTATCAGATTGCTGGATTAGCTGGGAAAAAAGAATTGAGCTATAAATGTATGTGTTCTTTAACCTTTTAATTGCTCGTGTTATGGCATGATCTCTAATGTCTTTTTTTTCTATCTAATGTCTTTAAATTGTCCTTTGGACATAGAAGGCAAGAACTATGGACTCAGATTCTCTTATTAGTAAACCCGTGGGGCCAGATGTATTTTGGAATTCAGAATTTTTTGGATTTTAAAAAAGTATAGTGTGCGTAATATACATTAATGTAGCACCATTGCAGACTCTGGAGCATTTTATGAAACAAAATATATATAAATATTTACATTAAATGGGCCAAATAAAGATTATAAAGAGTATCACCACATGAGGTCTGATTTTGTTTCCAAGGTTTTATAGAAACTTGGAATTTTGGAATTGAGGATAAGGAATTGTGCCATATGAATGAAGAAGAAGCAGTCTTCATTATAAAGGAACTATTTGCTCCTTTTGTTTTTTTATATTAGTCAACAAATTATTTGTTAGAAATTTTCCCCACAAAACTTTACTTACCAAATAAGAAAGAATGTGGGGTCCAGGAACCTAAGTCACCCATTGCATTCAGATTTATATCAATAGCAGATAGGCCACAAAACCTTTCATTTGTTTGAACTTTGCCCACAGATTATTATATTCTGGCTCTGTTGTTTTCTTATAACTATTTGGTCTTTGTGTATCCAAAATCATCCATCAGTATATTGGTTGGTAGTGCTTATGTCTTACAGAAATAGACAGTTGCTTGGCTTCGTTATTCTAGCTTGTTTTGTAATGAGCTGTGTTCATGCTATAAAAGGATAACGTAACCAGTGCTTTGGAAAATAAGTCATACTCTGCCAAGAGGGTCCCATAGACTGTTGTGTGCATGTGCTCCGTTCAGTCTGAAAAGCCTTTTTTTCCTCAAGGTTTAGTCATTTAAGAGCCAGAAAACCAGCACTGTTTCTATGTCATCTTCAGGGGCTAGTAGTAGTAGTAGAGTTGGAGATTCTCCTGGCATTTCTACCTCTAGGTGTGTAGTATATTAGGAAAAGTCTAAATGATTGCTATACATGATTTCAGTTTGGCAATTGAGGTGAATGTGTGCTCACTAATAGCTTAGTTTCCAGATCATTTTACATAGGAATACAGTCTGACTTAGATTTATCTTTTAGTCTTGATTTTATGAAGCATAATTTCTGATTGCCCTTGCTTGGGTCATTTGTATACTCTGGAAGAAAACAAATACAATTTATATTCACAGGTATATGTAAGTATTCTTCAGCTTTCAACCTGACTAATGAAGTATGCTTGGTTCAGTATTTGCAAAGTTTAGAATACCTTCTTTTTTATTAATTAAAACATTGTATAAATTTTTGAAGGCTTATGTTTCCTTATGAAACTATAACCAAAGGATATTTCAAAAAAAAATTAGATTGCTTAAGAACTTGGCAACATGCTTTAAATTTTAGAACTGCTCTTCAGAATAAGAAATACAAGTGTTTTCCACACTTGTATTGTACACAAACAATAGGGTGGTGAAGGCCTGGGTCTGGGGTCAGGGCGGGCTAGAAGGGGTCAATGGGGGTAGAAGGGAGGGTATATGTAATACTTTCAACAATAAAGATGTTAAAAATAATAATTTAAAAAGGGCGCTATTGCAAGTAATCCCTTACTGGGGTGCTGTTCTCAGATTGCCCACAAGAGGGCACTATTTCAACTAATCCCTAACTACGGTGTTGTTCTCAAAATGTCCACAAGAGGGCGCCAGGAAATACTCGTGTTTTCTAAAATTGTGTATTATAAACCAAAAGTTAGGGGAGCACATATCATATCAGCAAAACCCTGCCATCCAGATAATATATTAAACTGTTTCTCTCCGAAGGTCGGTGTTTGGGCATATATGGGCAGTGAAATGCTACCCCATGAAAACAATTGAAAACTTAATAAGTTTTTATTGATTTTATTTTTTAATATATTTTCATTTCAGAGAGGAAGGGAGAGGGAGGGAGGGAGGGAGGGAGAGAGATAGAAACATCTATGATGAGAGAGAATCATCGATCAGCTGCCTCCTGCACGCCCTCTACTGGGGATGGAGCCCACTACCTGGGCATGTGCCCTTGACTGGAATCGAACCCAGGACCCTTCAGTCCACAGGCCAACACTCTATCCACTGAGCCAAACCAGCTAGAGCAAGTTTTATTGATTTTAGAAAGAGGGAGGGAGAGATAGAAACATTGATGAGAGAGAAACATCAACATCAATCAGCTGCCTTTTGTGCACCCCTTGCTGGGGATCCAGCCCACACCCTGGCATGTTCCCTGACCAGGAGTCAAACCTGTGACCTCCTGTGCATGGGTCAACACACTCAACCACTGAGCCATGCTAGTCAGGCTTATAAAACTTTGTTTATCGATTTTTAGAGAGGAAAGGAGAAAGAGAAACAAACATCAATTTCTTGTTCCACTTATTTATGCATCATTGGTTGATTCTTGTATGTGCCCTGACCGGGGATCAAACCCACAAACTTGGTATATCGGGACTACGACACTAACCAACTGAGCTACTCAGCCAGGCTAAACCCTCTCTCTCTTGCATAGAATTTTCAACTCCTCTCAAGCTAACATTTTTGTGAAGGAAATTAGCCAGCCATTGTCCATACTAGTAATGCTCTCTCTAGTTCATTTTGCTTTCTTCTGTTTTAAATTTATTTGAGAGTCAGGAACCAGCATCACCAGACTCTCAAAGTCTAGATATACCCTCCCCCATTATCTACCCCAACACACACACTCTCCTTGTTTTTAGAAATACAAATCTTGCAGAGTTGGTTCTCTTTTCAGAGTATCCTATGCAGCAAGACTTTTCCTAGTTATATAATGCACTTTTCTTGCCCGGCATGTAAGTAAAAGCTTACTTTAGTCTGACTTGATATTTAGAGAGGAAGATGCCAATTGGGAAGAAGCCTGTCAGTTTGTCGAGCCTGCCCATGACAGGTGGGGTGCGGAGGAGCTTCTCTGGTGACGAAGAGTTGACTCCTCCTCCATATCGAACCCTGCCAGCACAGACAGCCCTGGAGGCCTTCCCACCTCCCAGCACTAGCCAAGAGTTCAGTCCCAGCCTCAAAACAGGTAACTAGTGGCCTCACACCTCAGGTACTGCAGAGGGCCAGGTCTGGGCAGGGTGGTGGGAGACGAGGTCTGGCATGCCAGGTGCGGACTCATTAAGTTTTTCGTTTCTTTCCACTGAAAACTTCATTTTCACTAGTCCTCCTCGATAGTCACTTCACTCCTAGTGAAAGATGAGTCATCAGGGAAGGGAGGTTTTTTATCTTGTTATAAACCATTTCTGAGCTTTAAATTAGGGTAAAGTTAACTTTCAGTTTATGGAATTGTGAGGCAACTTGGATTAGTTCATGGTTTCATTGAAATAGTCGAACATTTGCCTTACAGAGTTCTGTTTGACTTGACAGGGGTGGCGGGGGGAGGGGGGGAGAAATGTGCCATTAGGAATCTATCTGATTTATCAAATCCAAAGATGAGGCTTTGATCATAGCATTCCATAGCATCTCATTCATTAGAAAGGATGTGTTTTGTGTTTTAGTGTAATCTTGGTTCTGGTGATAACATTTACCACAATCTTTAGTTGAAGTAACATGGACTTGGAAATACAGTACGCAGCTAATTTTGGTGTTGAATTTTAGTGAAATTTGTTTCCATAATTTCATGTTTACTTTTGTATAATGATTAAGTGAGTTGTATTTCATTTGAGTTTAATTGGTTAGGCAGAGCTGGTAGGTTGTTCGGAAGACTACAGAAGGTTTTGCACTCCGACAGACTGCATTTGCGTGGGATGACCTATAGTGGGTGTGAGCACAGGTCAGAGGGCTGAGAACCACAGCTGTGTCCGCCTTGGCATATCTTCTGCCACATCCTAACTTGCTTTAAACCCGGTGGTTTTATCTGACCAGCATTGTTTAAAATGCCTTTTGTACATTGAAAACTAAGGTGGGACTGATACCTGCTTTCTTCTCATTCCTCTGTTTGCTAGTTTATTTATGTGATTGGTTGATTGGTAATATTTTTGCACCTCAAGTTATCAGCCTTTTTTTTTTTTGCCATTTTAAGATGTGTTCTTTAGTTTTTGCCTAACGGTGTTATTAGGTCATCTTGATCCTTCCCAGTCTGTTTTCTCTGATGTCCTTATAGCGAGAGGAAATTACACACATATATGTATATATATGTAATAGATTAGGACTGCAAACCCAAGTTTATCTGCTCTTTAACGGAAGAAACTTCAAAGTCTATCTAAAGAACATTACCATTTTCTTTCTTGTTTGTCTCTTTAATTGTATCTTTTTGTACTTGTTACATATGAAATCGTCGTCTTCAATGTATGTAATTAACTATAGATATTGTGAGCTCTGGATGTATTTGAATTTTTATTGGGTTTTAGTTGTATTGTCTTTAGGAATTAGACTGATTTTGAAGATGGGCGTCACGTTTTGTGAGCGGTGACTGGTTCGTGTAAAATGAAACTTGACTTCTGGGATTGGCGAAACCCAGGAACTTAGCTAGATGCCTGTGGTGGGAACCCAGGTCTCGGTGGTTTCCTTCTCCCACCAGGGTCTGTAGTGTCCTCTGAGCAGGAGCACATCTGTGGGACCCATGTGGTCTTACTCGGGTGAAACAGGACTACGATGTCTAAACTATGTCAAAGCTGCGGTTGATTAGCTGTTGAGTTTATTATATTTACGGGCTTCTTGCTAGGAAAATGTGATTCCCATTAGCGTATCTCCTGAAATGTTAATGACTAGAGTCAGCAAAGTGACTCCTTTTAAAAATAGAGCTAAGGAAAAGTGCATTTGTGTAGAAAGTGAAATGTAGCCACAGGACCTATTCTATTTCATCCATCCTTCATTGAGAATAAGACCTGGAAAGGAGAAATGATTCGTGTGAAGATACCAGGCAGGCTTTATTTTAGGTTCCATTAAAACAAAAACTGCATTAGAACATTCCACATCTGAGTGAATGTTTCACCTTTATCTTGAGTTTCTTTTTTTTTAAGCATATTGTTTCCATATTTTAACATGAGTAGAAGCATAATCCAGAAATTTGGTGTTAATAATAAATGCACATAGTTTCAGGATGTGCTTTAGAATCTCAATTTACCTTTCTTGCATTTAAAAAATCAACATCTGTTTGAATGGAACATGTTTGGTCTTGAAGCACGTTAATTCTTTTTCATTCATTTAGCCATCTGATCATCATATAATAAGATACTGTTTTAATCAACCTTTTATTGTGGGTACTGCACCTTTAATGAAACTTGGGGTTGTTGTTGTTTTTCTTTTTGTGTGTTTATTTTCATGGTATTGTTCAGATGTCCTTAACAATTAATGCATGTTGGTTAGATTTAAAGGATATATACTTGCTATTCTTTATAAAAGCATTTTTATTAAGTACTTTTTTAAAGAAAGAAAAACTGCATAGTCTTGTTTGCTTTACCTTTCAACAAGTCTGATTGGTATTTGTTTTGCTATTATTAGGGTATAGTGTATTCACTTTTCTGTCTTTGGGCTATTGAGTTTTTTTAACATCATTACCAAAACAAGTAACAAAGTAAAATAAAATGAATTGGCATCTCTGTAACAATTATTCTTTTAATTATTAAATAAGATATCAAAGACCATTATTTTTGAAACTAATCTTTTGTAACTAAAATCAAGACATGGTATTTTTCTATGCATATACTCTTGACTTTAAAAGTGTAGCCACTTGAATATTGTTCATAAGAGTTACTCCTCTATGAAAACTTAGTTGGCTTACTACTCATCTAAATAGAGCCCTCATTCTCCTCACAAATACAACTGTTTTTTTTTTTCCTGTATAAGCAGTTCCCACTTTACATTCTATATATACGCATCCCCTCCAATTGTGATGAAAAAATCCATAATGGAGGATACAGAGCACTTTTTTCCTTTTCTGTGAGCCTGTGCCTGCAGAAAGCAAGCAGGTTTCCTCCGTGAGCCAGACATGGTGACGCGGGTGTGGGAGCCCTGTACTGCCGCTGCCGCCAAGATAGCAGCAGCCAGCCGCTCCCACTGCACAGAGCCCTTCCCAGTGCTGGCCTCATGTTGCCAGGGTTTTATGTGAAATCTCTTGGTTTTAAAGTAATCAAATTTAAGAACCAAGGGACACAGGTAAGATGGGGAAAGCACAGTTTGTTGCCTCTGATTTAGCAGATCTGGGTGAAGAAACTTAGCATTGCTCACCATGGATTAGGTTCCAGTGAGTATGTTATACAAGATCACCTGTTCTTGAAATTCTTTGAAACTTGACCAACTCAATTTTGGTTCAACAATAACTTTTTAAGAAACCTGAACACAACTTTTTTTTTGTTAATATATTTTATTGATTTCTTAAAGAGAGGAAGGGAGAGGGATAGAGAGTTAGAAACATCAATGAGAGAGAAACATCGATCAGCTGCCTTCTGCACGCCCCCTACTGGGGATGTGCCCGCAACCAAGGTACATGCCCTTGACCAGAATTGAACCTGGGACCTTTCAGTCCGCAGGCCGACGCTCTATCCAAACCGGTCAGGGCCTGAACACAACTCTTGAAGGTTGGCAGTTATTAAGACTTATTTTTAACATCTAGCTGAGATCTTTTTTTCTTTTTAGAGAGAGGAAGGGAAAGAGAGAGAGACATCATCTGGCCTGCCTCCCATACGAACCCTAACTGGGAATCGAATGCCCAACCTGAGTATGTGCCCTGACCAGGAACTGAACCTTCACCTTTTGATGTGTGGGACGATGCTTCAGCCAGCTGAGCCACCCGGCCAGGACTGGGGTCATTTTTATTTAAAAAGTGGGAAAGTGATTTTTTGGAAGGGATGAGTTCTGTAGGAAGTAGGGGTAGCTCTCGGGGAAAGGAATTAGGACAGTCGGAAGTTACTGAGTAATTATGCCAAGGGACAGCCTTTAAGTTGAGGGGCTTATAAAAAGAGTTAGCAAAATCCCATAATTAAACAGCTAATTTTTGCATAAGACCAGTGCTGGGCCCTGGCTGGTGTGGCTCAGTTGGATGGGCATCGGCACATGCACCAAAAGTTTGCTGGTTCATTCCCAGTCCGGGCACATAAAAAATATTTTAATGACCCAGGACTGGGTCCGTAAAAAATGTTTTTATTTTAAAAAAAGACCAGTGCTGGACCCAGCAAGGAAAAATTTTTTTTGTCTTCATCCTTGCCCATGTAATAGAAAGAGCCTTTCTGTCACTAGAAATTCTGACTAGCATGATTTGAGTAGCTATCCAAAAATCTAAACTCCACTGAAAATATTGGAAACTGAAAAATAATTCTCCATAAAAATAAAGATCAATTAGAACGTGACCTATTTGTAAATTGAGGACTGCCTGTACGGTTGGTTGTTTTGTTTTTGTTTTTCATTAAAAAGCAAATCATCAGATGAGAACTCAGGTAGGCAATACTGCTAGTAAGTGATCCCATTGGTAATGTTAGCCATTTTGCACCAATTATTTTCAAATTGCTGATGTCAATAAATTTTTTATTTTACCTAATAATCAGTTTATTATTTATTTTAGTATGTTATTTATATACTTTATATTCTATTTATATTATAGGTAATACTTTGTATTTGTATATCAGATTTATATCTCTTTTCCACCAGGAGTCTTTTTAATAAAGGTGCTCCTTGGAGTTAATAACATTATATTAAAGTCATATTTATTGTGTTGTTAGTTTTTAAATATAGCTCAGGACCATGCAAGATAATACAGCATTGTTTGTATAGACATTGACATAAAAGTGAATACTTAACCATAAGAAAAATTTTAATTATTCTAGTCAAATTAGGGATCTCTCTTATCTTGACTATTTTGTTGAAGATATCTGTTGTGCAGTGTCCACTATGCAGTATTCTATTTTGGAACTTTCCTTAACTGCTAATACATTTTGAAAACTAAAATGTTTGTACTTCACCGTAAAGCTGGTGGAACCTGAAGATTAAAAGCAGTCTGAATATTCCAGAAAGGCTTAGTAACATCCGTACCTTTGTCTCTGTCATGCAGTGACTACATTGCAGCTGAAGGAGGAGTTGATAGATGGAGAGGACTACAGTTTCCTGCAAGGAGCATCTGACCCGGAAAGCAATGGCTCTGCCAACTTCTACATCAAGCAGGAGCCCTGAGGGGGCTCAGAACCGGAGGGTGGGAGGGAAGTTTCACACGGGACTGATTTGTAGTCCACCCAGCTGTACGCGGGGCTGTGCTACTGGGACATTTTGCTAAACAAAAATTTCAGTTCCGGATTTTTCAGGTGGGTGGGGAAACTATTTTAGTCGTGGGGGGAAATTTTTCAATTTATAAAGATGGACAATTTTTGTGTTGTATTTGAAGCTTTTGAAAGAATTTTGTAATATTTTACACGTTTGGATTTATGTGCATTGTTAACAAGAACTGAAATTCTAACTTTTTTGGTAAGATTAAAGTTTAGGTAGCAGGACTGAAAGAAATGATTTAAGAAGGATATAGTTGTAAATGCAAGTGAACTGTCAATACAAATGAACCTTTTTGGTACCTGTTGGGAGATTTGGGGATTTTAGAAGTTCGGCCAGTCACATCTCCAGCTTCCTTTGCTGCAGAAATATGCAACTGAACCCCCTCCTGGAGGGGTTGTCACCAAATGGATCATGGAAGGGGTGATTAATTCTGCTTGTCTGCATTTTTATTGCAGGCCATTTTAAATGTTTGTACAGAAATGTTTTTCATTCTGTGAACATTTATTTGGAGTTCTATATGAAACTGGAAGAACTCTGGATACTTTTCTATGTTCTCCTTTAATTAAAAAATGATAAAAATGATCCTAACACTAAAGTGTTAAACTGGAATGGTTGACCAGATATACAGGATGTCATTCTACAAGTTGAGGGGTAGGGAAAAATGCAATATTGTTCTAAGTTTATTTTATTTTCCTTACTAAAAAGTACCCCACAAAAGGGATTTTGATTAGTTCTCTGCCACTTCCCTCCATCTGTGAGATAATACTTGATATAACCACACCCCAAAACAGATGTTCTGTGTTACCAGGAGAATCAAATTCAAAGTTGTTTAAAGCCAAAATAAGTTTAGATTTCAAAATCATTCCAGCTCTGCTTTTAACTATCCTGGATTTGTTAGAAAACTAATTTGAAAGAGAATTTAATTTTCTTAAAATTCCATATATATCTATATAGTATGAGCTGTCTTTATTTGTGTTCAGAATTAGTTTTAACAATAATAACTGATTTGGACCATTTTGAACATTCCCTATTTTAAAATTCGTATGGCTTCCTTTCAAAAAAGGATCTAAGGGTAAATTGGTGAAAGGTTTGCTCTCTGCATTTTCTAATGTTGAGTTGTGACTGAATGAGAGAGCTCTAGCGTTTACCAGTGAGGTTCATAAACTAAACTCTCAGGAATTACTGCATCTGTTCTAGAAGTGCTTCTGGGTCTTAGCCTGGCCTCTTCAGAGTGGTGATAGTGACCATCTCCTCTGGAATATAGGTAGGGCTAATTAGAAATTAATCAAAATGATTAAACTCTACAGTCCTTCAACCTATGGAATGCTTTAAAAAATGCTAATGGAAAGCCCCAGGAGACATTTAGGTAAGATTTTTGTTTGAATTTTAAAACGCATAGAACATTAAAAACCAGCAATTTATTTTCTAAAATAATGCTCTACTTTTGGGAATAATAGCATTGGTAATACGCACAGGTTTACCTCATTCTATGCAAGAGGGGTTAATAACATAAGGTTTTGTAGTTGCTACTGGAAGTAAAATTTGTTGCTTTATTAATGTAAGAATGTATGGAATCGCATGTCAACATTTCTTAATACTGACTCTTTAGGGGCATAAATGCAGATCATATCAACGCCAAGTTGATCCTCATGTGTCAAATATATGTGAAATTCCGCTGTTAAATTACTGGATGTTTATCTTAAACAACATTACTGAGAGGGACCTACTGTAAATGTGACATCCTCACACTTCCCAAATCTTTAACTTTTAAGGATCTTCCCGTAAACTTAAAGCCTAGACGACTTCCAAAGCAGGCGTTACAACCATCTTTGTTCTCAGACTCGGTGAATTAAACCCAGGACTCTGATTTCATGAGATGGACACGAGAAGCCTGTTGGATGGCTTGCTCTTCCAGTACCTTGGGCTCAGAGGCTCAGTAGGGAACTGAGTTAGTCAGGAGGGATTTGATTTGGAGCCTGGTAATTAGTTCTGTGAAATGCTCATTTGTTTATAAGCTTCCGGTTCTAGAGCAAAGCCAGGCTCCGAGTGCTTTTTAATTTCCCGCCTATTCATGAAGGTGGTTCTTGTCTTGATCCCATGGCCACAGTTAAAGGTTGGTAGGACTTCCTACGTCTCAATACAATCTGAAGCCCTCTTTGTTGTTCAGACTCTTTAACTCCTGCTGCCAGTGAGCAGAAAGTAAGTTCATGCAGAGGAGATTTCTGTATTAGCCATAACTCCAGTTGTACAACTCAGCCCCATTATCTTTTACGGTTCAAAATGTACTGCTGACCTTGGGTTTGTTTTTGTTTTTTTCCTGTTAGGATTATTTGGGGCTTTTGGTAGTTTAAATTCTTTAACCTTTTCTTTGCTGTGTATGAGGAAAGCTAAAGCTGTTATCAACTTCTTTTTCTACGGATACTAACACGGGTTTTCAGTGTTTGTTTGTTGTTATTATTAATTTTGCGTGATGTGAATACCCTCTCCCATCAATATTTGTATTATGGTGCTATATATTTGGTAATGATCCTTTACTATTGGGAAGGGATTTTAAAAATACTGTGATTAAACTGGGTTTCTTCCTTTGATTTTCATATTTTAAATAAAGCCACAGTCATTTATACAAAAGAAAAGCGTCTGTCCCTGGGCAAGTCTTTTGAGGACAGAGGTCAAAGTAAACTGCATAAGGTTTTTACATCATTTCTGTATGTATTTGATATATAGACCAATATCTGTACAAATTTAATCTTTTATTTTCTTGGTAACTTGTGATCATTGAGAAAGTATTTGAAACTTTCTCAGGAAGTGTATATAATGGCGTGAAAAATTCTTCGGAGAAATTTATGTTTCTTTCATTTTTACCAAATTGCAAATTTCCAGCATGAATGTGAAAGCATTAAAATTATAACTTTGTGTACAAGATGAAAATAATTCACTAAATTTGCCCTTTTTTACACAAAATAAAATGTTAAAGTTAAGTTGTTTTTGAGCAATTCTTTAATACTCTTTGGTCTTTGAGAGGTTTTTTTCTTTATTAAAAATATTGAGTGCCTTCTGTAAGCAATCAGAGGCCCCTGTGGAAGTCAGACCAGCTTCTTCCTCACGGCCCCTGCAGTTGAGTGAGAGAGAATGTGGGTAGATGGACAAGGATGCATCCGACCACAGCGGAAGCAGAGGTGAGTGTGGACCACTTAGGGATTTACTGTATTCATTTGTGTGTGTCGTTTGTTTTGTTTTTTCATGTTTAACATCTTAATACAGATCAGGGAGTCTGGTTCATTTCAGCTCCTTCACTGCCAAACCTGGGGGCAGGGACTACTTCAGTTTCTTGCCTTCTCTTTGTGATGACCAAGGTTACAAAAGTATCTGCAGCTTCAGACTTTAAATTTCACATTATCTTTCTTTTTCTTGATCTTGACATATTCGGCATCCTTTCACCTGGCTGTGAGCAGGAAGTTCCTGATTGCCTCGATTTTGCGATGCCTGTCTCCAAGGTGCGAACGCAAGACAGGCACCTCAGATGACCCCCCTGTTCCCTGGGTACCATCCAAGAGGCCAGAGAGGACTTACATAACATTAGCTGGCACGTGGTGTTTCAGGGGTGACTTGCTTGCTAGGGGGCTTTTTTTTCAAGCTCTGTTAACCGCTTAAGCAAAGTTCATAGGATGTAAATAAATTGTCCCACCAGCTGGTGCTGTTTACATTGAGAGAGAATACAAGGACCTCTTCCTTACCAACGACTGACTCTTTGGAAAATTAATCAACTTCTGCAAAAGCAGTTTGTAGAGGATTTTCTGGATGTAAGATAGTAATGAGATGGCTTGGGTCTCTTTCGGAGTTTATTTCATCACACTTTAGAAAAATAGAAGGCATTCCAAGAAAACAGATGTGGAACCTAATTTCTGCCGTTTCCTACCTTAAATGGCTTGAACAGTTGCCCTAGAAAGTTGGAATTCCCAGATTGGGACACATTTACTATCCCACAAGCTTTGGTATATAATGTTCTTTTAAAGTTTTTATATGTATATATTCTTTAAACGATTATAGCCTCTTGGGAAACTATTTTCCTGATGTGCTTTATGCCCAGGATTGTGTTTTAAGAGCATCCAGTGCTTCCCCCTAACAAGTCAATGTTGAGCTCTGTGTTATTTATCCAGCCCCTGGGATTGGGAGAACAGTGACTATTTCCTCTCTATAGACTGTTACTGAGGCTGGAGTAACGCTTGTGGGCCTATTAAAAGTGTCCAGCCTCTCAAGCAGGCAAAAATAAGGATTGCCTACTGCCAACAAATAGATGAGAGTGTAAAAAAAGTAATTACTTTAAATACAGGGGTGGGTGACAGGTTTACAGTTGTGAGTACGTGAAACAGTTTATTATTTATTATTGTATTTTCCATCTGAAGAACTGTAAGCCTACTTTTGCCTACCCATCATGCATTTACTGTATTCAAACAAAAGCTTTATGGAAAACATGCATGAGTGGTCCACTTCACACACCAGCTGGTATATAGGATTATGTCCCAAACCCAACCTTCCTCCCAAAGCAGTACTTTTTTAAATTTATTTTTCAGTTACAGTTTACATTCAATTTTTTTTTTCATTGACTCTAGACAGGGAGAAAGAGAAACAGGGTGTGAAAGAGACATCGATAGGCCACCTCCCCCGACACGCCCAGACCAGGATCGGACCTGCAACCCAGGTACGTGCCCTGACCAGGAATCAAACCCGCAGCCTTCCAGTGTATGGGACGGTGCTCCAACCAACCAAGCCACACAGGCCAGGACTACATTCAATATTCTGTCTTAGTTTCTAGTGTACAGCTTAGTGGTTAGGCAGTCATATACTTTACAGAGTGGTCTGCCCAATGTTTCCAGCACACCCACCTGGCACCATACATAGTTATTATTGTTGATTGTATTCCCTCAGAGGCAGTACTTTGAACCTCACCACAGTCTACCCTTTCTTGCACTTCTACCAAAATGAAGTCCTAGCATCCACTCCTTCCTCTCAGCTCTCACCACTGCAAATTTGACTTCACTTAACCCTGCAAACTCGGGACTTGCTCACGTCACTTGGATAACTGTAAAGGCAGTAAAGCACAGTGGCCAAGAACGTGGGATCCGAAGCCAGCTGCTCGGATCGGATCTGACACCTCCCCTTCTTAGTCGCGTAAAGTGTCTCAGTTGTAAAATGGGGACCTTAGTACCAACCTCCTGAGAGTTGTAAAGATTAAAATGAATTCATGTGTAAAGTTCTTAGAACAGCCCTGGCCCAGAGTAAGCTTGCACTTAACTACTGCTGTGGATCCAGGTACCTCCGCAGTGTGCATGAGGATCCCCAGGCCCCCCCAGAACATGGAACCTTAACCCTCAAACTTTACCACTTAATGTGGTGAAAGCATGTACCATATATGAACACGAGATTACATTTTAAGTGGAAAAATAATTTAGAAAATGTTCAACTTCTGACATTTTTTTACACCAAGCTGTCAGTGTATGTGCCATTGTCGTGTGTCGCAGTATGCAGTAAAAGTAACACCGAAGTCAAAAAACAAAAAGTAAAGAAAAACCAAATAAAGGAAAAAGTGTAACACTGAGTCTTGCATAGGGAAGTGGCATTTAGCTTTCACCAGTTTCCTAACAGTTATTCATAGACCCATGTATTTCTATAATCTCCCGTTTTTAAGCCCGGCTCCGGGTGATCAGTGCCATTTGGCATCAGAGGATGAATTTTGTAACCACTCTGCTGTGATGCAGGAAACAGGCGTGATAAGTACTTTACCCCGGGGAGGAGAGAGCCATAGGGTTGCAGAACACGTGTACCAGCAGTGGGCCAGGCACTCGGTTAACTTCTTTATATTCATGCCTGCCTTAACCCTGCCTTGCAGTGATACCATTTTACAGATGCCTTGAGGCTCCCATTTCCTCATGTATAACTTGCCCAATTTGCAATCAATAAAATGTATGTCTGGATGATAGTACGTTTCACTCTATCAAGTTTCAACAAACTCTGTACAGAAATATACATTTCTACATCAGCAAAAGAGGTTGGGACATTTATTATGCTGTTTCCTTACGGGGTTTCTTAGATGCACTACTAGTGCCGCATGTGGCCCCTCGTTAGCCTCACTACTTTCCCACTAGAGTCTTGAGATGCACTGAGGTGCTGAGAAGGATTAATTAGTTCTGGATAATGCTAACCTAATGTGTTCTAGCCAGGAAACCAAGTCACTTCTTCCAACTTAGGGCTGAGGAAGCACAGGAGGCTGCACCCGTTTCCAAAGGCTTTATTGGTAAATATGCTTTAGAAAAGATGGATCCTTTTGCTTCCAGGTCAATGGAATGAAGAGCTGTGTCCCGGGACACATCAAGTGGAGCCAAGGAGACTGATGCTTTGTCCACCTCTTATTCATAGATCCAGTCAAAAGCACAAGACTTGTAGTCGACCAGTTCTTCAGGCTTAAACCACAGGCTGATTTCTCTCTCAGCACTTTTTACTGAATCACTGCCATGAATGATGTTCCTAAGAAAGAACAAAGATTAGTTAGTTACCACATTTCAAAGTGCAAAGGGCTGTGTGATGGATACAGCACAGGACAACCACTGCAGACCTTTTCAGCCAAATTGCCACTTGAATCGGGAAACTCTCCTAAAGTATTTCCTCTTTAAAAGCAACTATAAAAGCACTTAACCCAGCCCTAGCTGGTTTGGCTTATAGCGGATAGAGCGTCAGCCTATGGACTAAAGGGTCCCAGGTTCTATTCCAGCCAAGGGCACATGCCCTGGTTGTGGGCTCAATCCCCCAACCCCCAGGAGGGGGCGTGCAGGAGGCAGCTAATCAATGATTCTCATCGTTGATTTTTCTCTCCCTCTCCCTTCTGCTCTGAAATCAATAAAAATACATTTAAAAACAAAACACTTGCATCCGATGATAATTACCATCTAACTTAGAACCTCAAATTCTTCTAAAATTGGGCTATGCCAAATAATGGTTTTTATAAGTGACCCTCAGGATTTACCTGCCAACTTGAATGCAAAAGTCTCCACGAATGGTGCCTGGCTTAGAATCTGCTGGATTGGTCTCCCCAAGCATCATTCTCCCTGTCTTCACCACATTCAGCCCCTCCCAGACCTTGACAGTAGGGAAAAGGAACATCAGCTCTGCCATTCAGGACCATTAAGAACAAACACCCCCACCAGCACACATCCATCAGACCCATCAGTGAATGAGTATCAGCTAACCTCAGCAGACAGTAGGGGGCCTGCCTAAAGTGTTCCATCTAGGATACAGAGAAAAGGTCTACGCAACTGGGCAACTTTCTAGCCTAGCTGAGGTAGAAACAATACTGAGGAACCCGTATGCAGCCACAAACACGAAGAAGGTAACAGTGGGAAGAGCATCCCAGAAAACTGTTAAGAGCAACAGATGGCAAAGGTTGGCACGAAAGGGGACAGTGTATTCCCGGGAAGAACAAAAGGTCATCCTCACGGAACAGGAAGGGGATCTACTTTCTCAATCATTTTAGTGGCTCCCTATTGTACCCTCTACTTTCACTCCCAACTGGACGTTAATGCCACAGGAAGGACTAGCCTGCTTTCTAGCTCGGGAGTACACAGAACGTTCCCTTTGCTGATTCCCCTTCCTTTTTCCTCCCAAGCTCCTAGTTGCTCCGTGAACTGACCTCCAGCAGGCTCCATCTGTAAAGCAAGGAGACTGGAGGAGGTCTAGGACAGCAACAGTCACTTACCATGGCCACCACAGGCCCCGAGTTCATGTACTTCACCAGCCCCGGGTAGAAGGGCCGGTCTTTCAGGTCAATGTAGTGCTGCTTCAGGAGGTCCTCAGAGGCCTGCCACCCAAGAGAGGGTACCAGTTAGTGACTAAACTGGGGAGGCTGGCTCGAATATGGCTCCATCCCCGTCTCAGGACCTAGTAACATGGTAGCCAATTTAATATTTCAGCCCATATTCATAAGGTGGGTATATTTTTTTTAAAAATGCCATCCAAACCATGAAACCATTTTACCAAAAGACTGTTCTGCTTATGATGGCACCCTCATAACGTCAAAGGTGTATGGATGTTATAATCCTCAAAGTAGATGGATTGAGGGCCAAGGTGTCGGGAGAGAGCGGATGCAACCGAAATATGCCGACTGGTGGCCCTTCACAGTGCCCGTCTAAACATTTCAGATGTGAACGGGGAACATGCTCCTGCTCACTGATGAGCTCGGTGAACATTTCAGGACTCAGACACTTACTCAGACACTTATCCTTAGGGTCCCGATCTGCGAGCCCCAAACTTAACGTGGGAAACCATGACTGCCCCCCACCAAGGGACAGAGGAAGGAACACCCGCCGGAAACCTCACTCATCGCAGGTGCAGGCTAAACACAAAAGGACGCCACGCCTCCCCTCCTCCCCTCTGGGCACAGGCAGAGCCACGTGGGCAGGGGAAGGTGCGCCGGCTGGCTTCGCTCTCTGCTGCCCCCCAGCGACGACGGGCAGGCGACGGCCCAGGCAGCGGCGGGTGGGAAGCCGGTTCCGGGCAGGAGTCACGTTACCTCCCGTAACCTTCCCAAGGGCGTCAGTGCTCCCGGCCTCGGGAAAGGCTCGGGGGCCCGGGGCTCAGGGGAGAGGGCACAGGGGCTCCCGCGGGGCGGAGGCAGCAGAGGGGGCCTCCGGGCGGGAGAGCCGCGGAGCCGGGGCGCACAACCCCCGGCGGCCGAGCTCCGGAGCGCGAAGGGGGGGCGGGGGCGCGTACCCGCAGGAACTTCATGGCCACGAGGCGGAACCCCTTCTGCTCGAAGCGCTTGATGATGTCGCCCACCAGGCCGCGCTGCACGCCGTCCGGCTTGATGGCGATGAAGGTGCGCTCGGTGTTGGCCATGGTCCTGCGGCGAGTGGTCGGTCAGGGTTCGGGGGCCACGCCGACACGGACCGCGCCCCCGGG